ACTATCGCCTGCTGTAACTTTTCATTTCGTGTATTTTGCATTCCCCCTCTCTCTTTCTTCGTTTAGGGCAAGCCAGCAATAGCGCACAGGGATATCAAATCGAAAAACATTCTCGTACAGGCCAACGGAACCTGCAGTGTTGCTGATCTCGGCCTAGCGGTATTCCATGCCCCAGGTTGTTCGCCGGATGTGGACATTGGTTTGCCCAATCACAAGGTGAGAAACTCATGAGAGAGATACGCTTTATTTTGAAAATATAATTCTAAAATGTTCAGCAAATAACATCCTCCATTGAAAATATATAAAATTAGGCGCACGAACTCACAACACCAGGGAATCAAAAGTAATCCATAATCGCCAATGACTGCAATTTTCGACATCGTGGATAAATGTCTTTGGAATAGTTGTCAAATATTGGCCAAATGGGACTGCTTTCAAAACGGCGCTAGCGTCGCGCCCTGATGACCTCATTGTAGCTCAAATAAACACAGAGGGATTAATCGGTTTACAATGGGCGAAATAGGCCAACCGAAGTGTATATATAAGAAAATTTAAATACGAATGGAGAAAGGATCAAAATGGCGGCTCAATTTGAAAAGCCCTCCGATTTTGCAGTTGATGTTTCCTTCCCTCCTATCAGGTGTTTTTTGGCTATTCCACTTTATTATTTTCTAATTCCTTTTACGAATGCAGGTAGGAACCAAACGCTACATGGCGCCAGAAATTCTGGCGGATGAGAGTTTGGATGAGCGCTGTGAGGCGGATGGTATTATTGCTTGTGATTCGGAGATCAGTGCTCTGCGTCGTGGTTTTCCAACAGACTGCCAACAGAACAGCGCAAACCCCTCGCAAACTCGCCATCCCCAGAGTGCTATGGGACTCACCTTTGAGGGCATGAAAGCGGCCGACGTATACGCATTCGGGCTGGTACTCTGGGAAATCTTCAGAAGGTGCTTTACGGCAAACGGTAAGCATTTGTTGACATGACTCCTCATAGTCGACCCTAGTATACTCTACCGATCATATTCTAGAGAGAACGAGGAAGTGCCCAGTTATTGTGCAGAATTTTCAAGGACAGTATATACATATTGGAATAAGGAATGAGGAATTAGTGCCTGAGCTCCATTTTCTCATAGGATTTGAAGACTCATTTAATATAGAACTTCCCTAAGTAGCACAAAGGACATGAAAAAAGGTTTACTCCGCAGTAAAGTCGAGAAATGTCCATAAAGAAACTTAAATCGAAAAAGGGGCGGGCTAGTTTCAAGGGCCCATCGTAAGAAAACTTCCACGCGGAGTATACAATTGTGTTTCTGACCTTTTGCAGACAGAGTAGTTAAGCCGGGGAAACCCAATCCCTTTGGAATAACTGCCCCCGTCTCTTTTCATCTCGGCAAACTATAACAACCCCATAAGTGGTAATGTTTACATGCGGCTTACAGCCCTGATAGCTAGATAAAACACGAGGAGGCATCTTTT